GTACTGCTACAGCAAAGGAAAAAGCAGAAGTTTAGGAACATTCCTCAACTCACATGCTTTAAGATGGGTGGATTTTAACTCTCAGAATTCCCCAGCCAGCACACTTTAGATGGGTAGACTTCAACCCCCAGAATTCCCCAGCCAGCCTTGCTTTGAGATGGGTGGACTTCAACTCCCAGAATTCCCCAGCCAGCCTTGCTTTGAGATGGGTGGACTTCAATTCCCAGAACCTAAATCAAGTTGTTAGCTCAGTAACAGAAGAAAAAGACTTATGTAGGTAGAAGAGAACAGAGCTGGAAGGGACCGTGGAGGTCTTCTAGTCCAGCCCCCTGCTCAAGCAGAACTTACACCATCTCAGACTAACCCTTGACTTATCTAACCTTTCATTTAGCGACTGTCTGAACTTACCGCAGCACTGAAAAAAAATTGACTTTTCACACTTGTGGATCCCCGTGGCCACAAGTATCAAAATTCGGACGCTTGTCCACTGACTCATGTTTATGACGGTCGCCGTGTCCCGGAGTCACACAATCCTCTTTGGTGACCTTCTGACAGGTCAAAAGGAGAAGCCCGATCCACTTAACAATCAGGTTACTAACTTAATAACTGCAGTGATTGATTCACTTAACCACTGTGGCCAAAAAGGCCGTAAAACGGGGTAAAACTACCTTAACAACTGACTCGCTTAGCAACGGAAAAGTTTGGGATCCCTTGTGGTCCTCCATCCAGGACTTGCCTGCCCTTGGCCCGGCGTCCCAGGAAGAAGTTGAGCAGAGGTCCATTATTCCTCACCTGTTTCTCAGCTCAAGTGGACGTTGATCCGAGATCCTCCGTTTTCTTTCTCACACAGACCCGGGCCGCTCTGAAACGCGGTGACCTCATCCAAGCCGCGGTGGCCTCCCGCAAAGCTCGCGCGCTCGTCTTCTTCAGCCTCTTCTTCGGCGTCTTTGTGTCCATCGGCTGGATTGTCTACGTGGTGGTGACCCTGTATCTATGACCCAAGGGGGTTGGGATGGACCTTAGGGTTTCCTACAAAGTTGTGGCGTGGAGTCTTTGCCAGCTTGGGGACCAGTTTCTCACAATGATGCTTCTTTCTCTTCTCCAAAACCAACCACGTCAACACCTTGCAAGAACGATTGTCCTAAAAAAAAGTGATGAGACACCCCCCTACTCTATCCATTTCTATTTCTATTTTTATTCTACTCTATCCATTTCATATTCTATTTCTATTCTATTCTAATCTATTCCATTTTCTGTTCTATTCCATTCCATTTTCTATTTCTATTTTCTATTCTACTCTACTCTACTCTAATTCCATTCCATTCTATGGACTTACCAAGGCTAACTTAATTGCTATTTCATTAGTCTTATTTCAAGAAATACAAGAACAGTCTGGTCCAAGAAGTGTTTAAAGAAAATGCCAGATAATCTCCTTGGAAAAGCTACACAGGTTATCCCCCGAGGCAGGTCAGGAGGGTGAATGTTGATCCATGGGTTCTTCAAACCCTGAGATCCAATCAGGGGCCCGGCACTGTGAAGACATCAGCAATTCCATACCAATTTTTATTTAGGACGCTCAATTTAGGAACAATAAATGCTTGAAGGATTTTTGCCCATTCGTGTCCATCATTTGACCACTGACCTACAGGTGTAATAGGGATCAGCAGCTGATCTTCATGCACAGGTAAAAAGATTGGATGGATGGATGGATATGATAGATATATAGATGACAGAGATAATGATAGAGAGATGATATATAATAGAGATGATAGAAATAGATAAATAGATAGATAGATAGATAGACAGACAGACAGACAGACAGACAGACAGATATATAGATCAATGATAAATAGAAATTAGGTAAATAGATAGGAAGATAGATTGGACAGGAGATAGATGATAGACAGACAGGACAGATACATAGATCAATGATAAATAGATTAGGTAGGTAGATAGGAAGGTAGATAGATAGATAGACAGACAGACAGACAGGAGAGATAGATGGATAGATAGGAGATAGATGAGTAGACGGATAGATGGATAGGAAATAGGTAGATAGAAAGACAGAAGAGATAGATGGATAGATAGGAGATAGATGAGTAGACGGATAGATGGATAGGAAATAGATGAGATAGATAGATAGATAGATAGATAGATAGATAGATGGATAGATAGATGGATAGATAGATGGATAGATAGATGGATAGGAAATAGATGAGATAGATAGATAGATGGATGGATGATAGGAGAGAGAGAGAGAGACAGACAGACAGACAGACAGACACAGACAGACAGAGACAGAGAGCTTATGAGAACAGTCTTCTCTGCAATGTTGCCACTAGTGCCTAAGCTTTTGAGATATAGCAAAGGGCAAAAAAACCAAACCACCTGAATTTCTTTGATCAGTTCCTCAATGCCCATTTCAACTACTTATTTTCAACTTGGCATAGGTGGAAATACATTTGCATGTTGAATTCACGGGTGCATCTTTGAAAACCTTGTTACCGCTGATGGCGACAGAAGCAAGAACGATCTTTTACGCTATGCTGCTGGGCAGAGGCCACATTGCAGGAAAAGCACAATCACGAAGAGGCGGAGTTCTTTAACTGCGTTTATTTTCACTAGGTTTTTTTTTCTTCTTCTCTCCCTTGAATATAAAAAACAACAACGGTTTTCAGTTTTTTTTTTATTTGCAAGTTGGGGATCTACACCGTTGAGCCATAAATACACAGTGTTGGGCTCAGGAGACCTGGCGGATGAGGCAGCCAAGTTAAGATAACCGAGGACAATTTTGTAAACGTTTATCAGGCTTCTCTTTTGATTTCCAAAATCAAACGGAGTCTCCCCCCTTTTTCTCCTTTCACGCCTTCCTCAGCGCTGCTCTCCGTAGCTCAGTGATTCTCAACTGTGGCAGGTTGAAGATATGTAAATTTCCACTCCCAGAATTCCCCAGCATGGGGAGGAGGAGGAGGAGGGGGTGGGGAAAGGAGGAGGAAGAGGATCATAACGATGGAGAAAAAGGAGAAGGAGGAGAAGGAGGAGAAGAGGAAAAGGATCATAATGATGGAGAAAAAGGAGGAGAAATGAGGAGGAGGAGGAGGAGGAATATCCATCATGGAGAAAGGAGGAGGAGAGGAAGAGGAAGAGAAGGATCATAATGATGGAGAAAAAGGAGAAAGGAGGAGGAAAGGAGAATCATGATGGAGAAAAAGGAGAAATGAGGAGGAGGAGAAGAGAAGAAGGGTCATAATGATGGAGAAAAAGGAGAGGAGGAGGAGGAGGAGGAAAAGGATCATAATGATGGAGAAGAAATGAGGAGAGGAAGAGGAGAAGAAGGATCATAATGATGGAGAAAAAGGAGAAAGGAGGAGGAGGAGGAGGAGGAGGAGGAGGAGGAGGAGGAGGAAGAGGAAAAGGAGGAGGAGGAGGAAAAAAGAGAAGGGATGATGCCTTTGGTGGTTTAGGAGATGGAGCAGGAAAAGAGAATGAAAAAGAGGAGAAGAATTGATGGCGACAGAGAAGAAAAAGAGAGAAGGGGAAGGTGGTAGGGGTGATGGAGAAGGAGACAAGCAACCGTGGAAAGAGGCCACCTCAGTTCTGGCCACTGAGCAAGGGGAGAAAATCAAAGACGAAGCATGAATTACGCCCCAAACCATAACCTTCCCAAATGGGGAAGGCAAGAGTCTCGGCTATCTGATTTCAGGGAGCAGAGAATGGAAGAAGCCCTAGAAATTTCTCCAGCAGGCCTTGAGGGAAGCTGAAGGACAAAACACCGGCTGTGCCGCATGGGAGTGATAGTCCAACACATCTGGCAGGTACTCTGGAAGAGAACCTTCAAGGGGATGCTGCCTCTTATTTTAACGGTTGGGATGGGAGTAAATTTAGGTTTAGTCATTGTCTCTGGAGCCCAACGATCCCAACCAACCTGGTTTAATTCTGCCCACGATGGGTTTGACCTAACTGTGGCTTGTGCCTCGGCTGATGCCTTCACAGCCTAGAGTTTTTTTTTTGTCTCGTTCCTATCCATTTTCCTTTTTTAAAAAACGATTCCTTGCCAAAATAATAATAATAATAATAATATTAATAACCAACTAAAAACAACCAAAACAAAATGACAAATGCCCCCCCAAAAGAAAAAACAAAAAACAAAAGAAAGAAAAAAATATCCACGGGCAAATTCAAACATGCACATCGCCACGAAAACGCAATGGTCCTAGGATCCCGTGTGTGTGTACAGGCGGGCTGTGTTTTTTTTCTACATATTTACTGCCTTTACAAGCTAGTACCGTCGCTAAGTTAGACGTTCCCCGTTTCCCACGCGGAAATCCGTACGTCGGGGGGTGGGTGGAGAGTGAAGAGATGACACTAGAGTTTCGGATAGGAGGAGGAAGCGATTCAAGTTCGGGTAAGAGATGGAGAGAAGGACGGTTGGTGAAAGCCCCCCACAAGGTCTTCTGTCCCTACTCTCCAGAAGGACGACGTCAGCCGGTGTTGTCGGGTCAACGCCGTCTCCGACAGGGAAGGTGGTGGAGGACCCAGAGTTTACCTCCACCCCTTCCAAGCTTCCTTGGCTCGGCTCGGCCCACTTTTTTTTTTTCCTAGAGTGGAAGTATCTGAGATGGTTCTCCTCGGCACGGTCTTCAGGAAATGTCCTTGGCCAAACCCATCCATGGTTACCCCATGGCGATCTCGGTTTACGTCTCTCTTCTCCACTTGAGAGTGTGCAAAAAATGTAGGCTGGCTGATTTCCCCCCACCTCTCTCTCTCTCACACACACACACACATCTTGGGTACAACTTGACATTTGGCCAAGCGGGAAGTCAACCCTTCCGATTCTTTTCTGTCCCTCACTTTCCAGACCAGGAGGGCGATGTACAAGAGCCCAGAAGTGATGGAGAAAGATCAAAGGAGGGGAGAGAGATCTGCGCGGAGTGCCAAGGCTTCGAGCTCGTCGCCAGTCCCAATCGGATGCCCACGGCCTTCCTGCTTCGCCCCCCTTCCTAAGTCTTCTCTTCCCGGTCTGTTTTCCGCCGCGTGATGTTTCGGGGTTTGATTTTGAGTGACAGTTCCCACAAGGCCTCCTCGGCCAGATGATCGCTGAAGTCGTTGAAAAAGGAGATGATGTCATCGTTGCGTTTGATGTCGTAATGCCTGCAAAGATCAGAGACAGAGAGAGAGGGGCCGTTTAGACCGTTTAGACCAGAACGGACCCAAGTTGGGTCAACCCTTCAGTGTTATAAAATACAGGCACTCTCCTCCACTTAAGATAACAATTGAGGCCAATTTTTCTCTCGCTAAGTGAAACGTTTGTTAAGTGAGTTTTGCCCCATTTACGACTGTTGTTAAGTGTATCACTGCAGTTAAGTTAGTAACGTGGTTGTTAAATGAATCTCGCTTCCCCTGTTGACTTTGGCTGTCGCAAAAGGGGATCACGTGACCCCGGGACTGTCATAAATATGAGTCGGTTGCCGAAGGACTGAATTTTGATCCAGTGACCATGTTGCGACGGTCGTTAAGTGTGAAAAGCATGCCTGGTTCCCGACATCCCGAAACGTGGACACGGGGAACAAGAAAGCCACAGGCCAAAGAAGCAGGGAACACCCCCCCCCCTTACACTTGCTGGAACCGCCTCATGTTATCCAGGATGTTGAACTGCTGCCATCGCTTGGAGAAGTTGACTTTGCCGTCGATGTAGTCGGGGTTTCCCAGGTGCACGAAAGTCAGGTCTTGCAGGATCAGGCCCCTGGAGAAGGAGAGGGGGAAGGGAAGAGCTCCGCTTAATGACCTGGGTTGGCGTTCTCAATGGGTTAGGCTCAGGTTGAAGAGATGGCTTTTGTAATGTTCTCCAAAGAGATGGGAAAAAAAGAAGGGTTGTGTAGCTACTCACAAGTAAGGGATGCAAGGGGGTTCGACCTCACCAAGAGCAGCCCGGTAAGCCCGGAAGGAGGACGAGCTGTCAATCAGAGTACAATACTCCGCTAAGCCCTAGAAAAAAAAGAAGAAGAAAAGTTTAGGTAGTCCTTGACTTACTGTACAAGCATCTGTTTAGCGACCGCTTGGAAGTTAGAACTTGGCTGGGCCTCAGCCAAGGTCTTCTGCTCGCTCACGAGGGCCGATTTCCATGAATGTTATTTTTGTAAGCTGCCCAGAGTGGGAGGGACGGAGCGGGCAGACGTACAAAATGTTCTTAAATGACAGAAAAATAGACTTCCAATTACTGTTACTTTGGTCATCTTAACTTTGGGTCTGGCGAGGTGGGCTAGCTTGGAAGAACTGGAGTGTGGCATCATCAAACTCTTTTATTATACACACTCTCTCTCACACATACAAACACACAGAGAGAGAGATGGAGAGAGAGAGGGAGAGGGAGAGAGAGAAAGAGAAAAAAGAAAGAGAGAAAGAGAGAAAGAAAGAGAGAAAAGAGAGAAAAAGAGAGAGAGGAGAGAGAAAGAGAAAGAAAGAAAAAAGAGAGAAAGAGAGAAAAAGAAAAAGAAAGAGAGAGAGATGGAGAGAGAGAGGGAGAGGGAGAGAGAGAAAGAGAAAAAAGAAAGAGAAAGAGAGAAAGAAAGAGAGAAAAAGAGAGAATAAGAGAGAGAAAGAGAGAGAGGAGAAAGAGAAAGAAAAAAGAGAGAAAAAGAGAAAAAGAAAAAGAAAGAGAGAGAGAGGGAGAGAAAGAGAGGGAGAGAGAGAGGGAAAAAGAGAGAGAGTGCAAGGAGAAATATGGATGTGAAATACAGGTAGTCTGTATGACTTCATTTAGTGACTGTTCAAAATCACAATGGCACTGAAAACAGTAACTTATGTCTGTTTTTCAGACCACCGTCGCGGCATCCCAAAATTCAAAATTCAGACGCTTGGCCACCGACTCATATTTACGACGGTCGCAGCGTCCCGGGGTCACGTGACCTTCTGACAGTGGGGAAGCTAGATTCATTTAACAGCTGCGTTCCTAACTTAACAACTTGCCGCGATTCCCTTTGCAACCGTGCCGAGAAAGGTCACGAAGCGGGGCAAACCCCCCATAACGAATGTCCCGCCTAGCGACAGAAATTTTGGGCTGGGCTGTGGTCGTAAGCCGAGGGAACCCCCCCCCCCGTCAAAAGTGAAAGCAACCCACCTCGGAGGTCTGCTTCTGCCACTCCAGACGCCGAATGGGGGCTGAATCCAGCGCGGAGAGGATGGCCAGGTAGGAGTTGAAATTGTTGAGTTTCCGTAAGTGCTGCGGGCGAGAGGGAGAATCGAGGCAGTTGTGTTACTTACCTGTGGCTTACCTGTTACCTTACTTACCTTGCTTACCTGTGGCAGCCCTCTTCCCTCCCTCAGCCATCCCCAGCTGGAGCTTTACCTTCATGATTTTGATAAATTTCAGCAACAGCCTCTCTCGGTCTTGAGACTTTTCCTGCTGCATGATTATCGAACGGACCCTGCGGATTAGAAAAAGATTTTACAAAATTGACCAGACGTCTTAAATTTCTTATATGGGGGGAAACTGAGTCCAGCTTTTTTTTTTAAAATAGATAGATAGACAGACAGATAGACAGACAGACAGATGATGAGAGGATAGATAGATAGATAGATAGATAGATAGATAGATAGATAGATAGATAGATAGATAGATAGATAGATAGATAGATAGATGGATGGATGGATGGATGGATGGATGGATGGATGGATGGATGGATGGATGGGAAGATAGATGATAGATAGATAGATAGATGGATAGATAGATAGATGAGAGAATAGATAGATAGATAGATAGATAGATAGATGATGGATAGATAGATAGATGATGGATGGATGGACGGATGGATAGATAGACAGATAGATAGATAAATAGATATAGACAGATAGATAGATAGATAGATAGATGATAAGAAGATAGATAGATAGATAGATAGATAGATAGATGATAAGAGGATAGATAGATAGATAGATAGATAGATAGATAGATAGATAGATAGATAGATAGATAGATAGATAGATGGATGGATGGATGGATGGATGGATGGATGGATGGATGGATGGATGGATGGGCCCAAAATCACCTAGCTGGCTTTCATAGCTGTTGGGAAATAGACTGGAACCCTTGTTCTCTCTTACCAGTAAGACATATTATTAAAGTGCTCGGTGAACTGCGTCAAGTTGGGACTTTTCTCCTCATTCTGTTCCTTTGCCCAGAGTAAAACTTCAGGGATCTGAAAAGGATGAAGAGGACATAGAAAAGTTAGATAGCTCTTCCATTACTGCAGTATCAACTTCTATTCTATTCTATTCTATTCTATTCTATTCTATTCTATTCTATTCTATTCTATTCTATTCTATTCTATTCTACTCTACTCTACTCTACTCTACTCTACTACTCTACTCTATTATTCTAGTCTAGTCTAGTCTAGTCTCCTTCGAAGGCAGGTGTTTGATATCTGCACCCCGGGGGTGACTTCTGAGTCCTGCCCACAACCAGGATGGCACCACCGGGCAACGGTAGGTCATTTGAACAGGGAGTTATGCAGAGATACAATGGGCACATGGAGAGAGCGGACCTCTATGTGGTTGGTTGGGCAGGAAGAACCGGAAATGATTTTAGAAACCAGCTACTCCTTTGATTGGAAAGGAAACATGCTGAAGATACGGGCATTGTGCAGAGATGCAACGGGCACCCTCCTTGGACTTGATAGGGCCTTAAAACACACACACACACACACACACACACACACACACACACACGCAACGAGAACACCTAGAATTATGAGTTAGGGATGGCTGAGATGATACGCTGGTGGTTAACTTCGATGCATCGTTTTTGTACCTCAATCTTATAAAACAGCTCGGCGTCAAGGAGCGTGAGCTGTTCTGAAATTTCGTGGCTGTGAAAATCATGGAGAGTGCCAGGCCTGGAAAAGAGAAACAAAGGAGAAAAGAAACAGATTTATTGAGAAGGGTATATATATATATATTCACCCTTCAAAAAGAGAAAACAAACCCAAACGAACATGAAATGACGGGCTGAACGTGACATTCAACATCCCGGTTATCTCATCCTATTTGACTGCAGAAATAATTGCAGAAAGGATGAATTTCTGTCATTGGCTAAGCATTCTGGACTGCAGCTTCCTTAGTAAAGTTTCTGGGTTGTTTTTCCCCCCCTATGGTTCTCCCCCGTGGAGCTTGGCCACCCATCTTACCTCGCTGCCACCCATCGGGCTGCCAAAGGCTTGATGGAGTTGGTGTAACGCAGCATTTTCCTCTGATTGACTTTGTCCAGGATATTTTTGCGCAAAACCCGGGCGAGGCTCAGCTCTCCGTTGCAGACCAAGCGGAAGACCAGTTCCATCAGCAGCTTCAGGATCTCCTCGGTCAGCTCTACCAAACTGGAAAAGGAAGCGATCCGGTGAAGCCTACCCTTCAGATCCACCAAGGAGCAGCTGATGCGACGCCTCTGTGGATCCCCAAGGTGGAACTCGATTGGGGTCCTGAGAAGCTTTCTCTGAACTTAAACGAGGTTTCCCACATCTTAGCCCTCACGATCTTAAAGTAGATCTTCAATGGGCTAGTCCTCATGATGGTAGGAGGAAATTTGACAGCCCAAGCAGTTACATCCACAGAAGGTTCAGATCCGTTAAAAGACATCTAACCAGTCACAGATCATGTACTATGTTTATTTTATAGGTAGTGAAGTTTAATACAAGAATACATTTAGCGTATTGACTATTGGGTGACCTAGAACCCATGTGTAGTTAAAAGACATCTAACAAGCCACAGATCATATACTATGTTTATTTTATAGGTAGTGAAGCTTAATACAAGAATACATTTAGCATATTGACTATTGGGTGACCTAGAACCCATGTGTGGTTAAAAGACATCTAACAAGCCACAGATCATGTACTATGTTTATTTTATAGGCAGTGAAGTTTAATACAAGAATACATTTAGCATATTGACTATTGGGTGACCTAGAACCCATGTGTGGTTAAAAGACATCTAACAATCCACAGATCATATACTATGTTTATTTTATAGGTAGTGAAGTTTAATACAAGAATACGTTTAGCGTATTGACTATTGGGTGATCTAGAACCCGGGTCTGGTTCTAGCTTGTTCTTCTTCTTCTGCAGATCAAATCCAAGCCACCCACCCCAAAAAAACCATATTTAACAGAGTTTCCCCTTACCATAATTCATCCACCACTCGGACCAGGACAAAAAAAGTATTCTTGCTGACTCGTTTCTTATTGTTGTCTGGACAGTGACAGAACTTCTCATACGTTGGAGGGTGAGTTAAAGAAGTTACAACAGGTGGTGAGAACAACCAGCCAACACTGCTGGTCTTAGTAGGATCAAATTCCTGGGTGGGAATCTCCAAAGCTGTAGACTACACTGGCAAGTGAGACAACTTTTTAGAACAGGGGTGTCCCGACCTTGGCAACTTTAAAGACGTGTGGACTTCAACTCCCAGAATTCTGCAGTCAGCACGCAGGCTGGGGAATTCTGGGAGCTGAAGTCCACCAGTCTTGAAAGTTGCCAAGATTGGACAGGCTGGTTTAGAAGACAATGACAAACCAGTTCTGTATTCATTTGGTCTGGTCTGGTCTGGTCCGGGAGAGACTGCAACAGTCTAAGTGTGAAAAACGGTCATAAGTCACTCTTTTCAGCACTGAATGATCAATAGTTGTAAGCTGAGGACTGCTTGCATAGGGTCTCCTGCTTGAGCAGGGGGCTGGACTAGAAGACCTCCAAAGTCCTGTCCAAAACTGTTTTCCTGTATTCTGGTACCTGGAAAGGAAACGGATGCGCACATGGAATCCTTCAGCTGAGTCTGGATTAGGACTTTACTTCTTGTGGTTTACAGCTTGGAAGTTGGTCTAGTCTAGTGCTGATCTTGGACATTGTAGGTGTAGGTGTCATCTAACAAGACAATATCCAGCACCATGCACTTCTCAAGATCCTGGGGGGTGGGGAAAGTCACCCCTCCACCCCCATTTTGTCTATCCCCTTCCCCAAAAGGATATCGGTATTGTAGTTTTTTTATCAGCTCTTCGGGCGAAATGAACGTTCGGTAAGTTGTCAAGAAGGCTTCGCAGTAAAGCACCAAGTCTGGGCGAGGGAGGAAGAAAAGAGGGACAAAAATAGAAATTAATTCACCTTCTGATCAAGCAGGGGGTCTTCTCGATCTGGGGGGCATCACCGCTTCCACCCGGGATGAATTTCTAAGCGTTCGTGACCCTAAGGGGCCAGGAGCACCCAGAGAGATGAGAGTTGGGCAAAGGAAAAACAGCAAACACAACTCCACAAAATACTGTAGCAACCTGGGAAGCCACGATTAGAAAGCCCGGTTGACCATTATACCCGTCTTCCAGACCATAATATAGCTCAGGATGGAGAGTAGATATTTTATTCACTGATTTGTTTTATCGATTGTATTTAGAAACTGTCCTTCTCCCTCATAGGGGGACCCTGGGTGGCATGCAAAAAATATGTTGAAAACTTAAAAACTGAATCTATAGAGCCAGATTGGGCTTGTGGTTAAGGTAGCAAGCTAGAAACTAGGAGATTGTGAGTTCTAGTCCGGCCTTAGGGATGAAAGCTAACTGGGTGACTTTGGGCCAATCACCAGGAGACGGTGAGTTCTAGTCCCGCCTTAGATGTGAAAGCCAGCTGGGTGACTTTGGGCCAATCCCCAGGAGACGGTGAGTTCTAGTCCCGCCTTAGATGTGAAAGCCAGCTGGGTGACTTTGGGCCAATCACCAGGAGACGGTGAGTTCTAGTCCTGCCTTAGGCATGAAAGCCAGCTGGGTGACTTTGGGCCAATCACCAGGAGACGGTGAGTTCTAGTCCTGCCTTAGGCATGAAAGCCAGCTGGGTGACTTTGGACCCATCACCAGGAGACGGTGAGTTCTAGTCCTGCCTTAGGCATGAAAGCCGGCTGGGTGACTTTGAGCAACTTTTCAAGGATCTCCTTCCAAAATCCTTCCTGTGTCTCGACGGCAAAATCTCACACGAGTTGCGAATGTGGGCCTTGCATCGGGGTGAGCCCACGGTCCCTCTTACCTTTTACCGTCCCCTCCACCGTGGCCGTCTCCGTCGCGTGCACCAGCAGGATGTCTCCTGAGCCCCCACGGACATCCGGACCATCGTCACCCTGCAGTAGAAGACCCCAAAAAAACCCCACTAAGAGATGATGCACCAATTTCCTTTGGATGTGGTCATTGTGCGTTTCTTGAACAGGTCTGCAAACTGACCGGCATCCATCTTCTCCTCCCGTTGTGCAAATGCCTTGAATGCAGGTTGACTGTGACCCAAACACTCGGCAGGTTTCTTGTATGAACCCACCTTGCGTGGCTTCAAACTAAGAAAGGTCAAGCTCCCCAAATATCCAAATAGGGGCTGTGAAAGAAATCCTTTTGAGGGACTGAGAATTATGGAATAACAGAGTTGGAAGGGACCTTGGAGGTGGTCTAGTCCAACCCCCTGCTCAAGGAAGAGACCGTTCCAAAATGGTTGTCTCATCTTTTCTTGAGGATCTCCAGGGATGGAGCACCCACAAATTCTGAAGGCGAGCATTTCCACTGATTGTTCTCACTGTCAGGAAGTTTCTCTTTAGTTCTAAGCTGCTTCTCTCCTTGATGAGTTTCCACCCGTTGCTTCTTGTCCTGCCTTCAGGCGCTTTGGAGAATAGCTTGACTCCCTCTTCTTTGGGGCAGCCCCTGAGATATTGGAAGACTGCTATCCTGTCCCCCCTCGTCCTTCTCTTTATCACGCTGGACATAGCAATAGCATTTATATACCGCTTCACAGTGCTTTTCAGCCCTCTAAGCGGTTTACAGAGTCAGCATCTCGCCCCCGACAATCTGGGTCCTCGTTTTACCCACCTCAGAAGGATAGAAGGCTGAGTCAACCTTGAGCCAGTCAGGATCGAACTCCTGGCTGTGGGCAGAGTTAGCCTGCAATGCTGCATACAACCAGTGGGCTACCAGGATATATCCTAGTTCCTTTAACTATTCATTGTACCGTTTAGCCTCCAGACCCCCTCATCATCTTTGTTGCTCTTCTCTGCACTCTTGACCTCCGTACAATGGGGGACATACGCCTCTTCCGCCGAGCCCTAAAGACCTATCTGTTCCAAGAGGCCGGTCTGGCATAAATCTGAAACTCTACAATTTTAAATTGGGTATAATTTTATATTATTATAGTGGGTTTTAGGACAGGACAAATAATTTAATTAGTTTTAAATATTTTAAATATTATGGTATTGCTGTTT